GCAATCCAAGGGACTCTGAAGAGTCTTCTTCAACACCACAGTTCAAAAGCATCAATTTTTGGCACTCAGCTTTCTTTATAGTCCAACTCTCACATCCATACAGGACTACTGGAAAAACCATAGCTTTGACTAGATGGACCTCTGTTGGCAAAGTAATGTCTCTGCTTTTTAATATGCTGTCTAGGTTGCTCATTAACTTTTCTTCCAAGGAGTAATCGTCTTTTAATTTCATGGCTGCAGTCACCATCTACAGTGATTCTGGAGCCAAATAAATAAATAAATAAATAAATAAAGTCAGCCACTGTTTCCACTGTTTCCCCATCTATTTGCCATCAAGTGACAGGACCAGATGCCATGATCTTTGTTTTCTGAATGTTGAGCTTTAAGCCAACTTTTTCACTCTCCTCTTTCACTTTCATCAAGAGGCTCTTTAGTTCTTTCTGGCATAAGGTGGTGTCATCTGTATATCTGAGGATATTTCTCCCAGCAATCTTGATTCCAGCTTGTGCTTCATCCAACCCAGCATTTCTCATGATGTACTCTGCATATAAGTTAAATAAGCAGGGTGACAATAAACAGCCTCGACATACTTCTTTCCCTGTTTGCAACCAGGGAATAACCTAGGGGAGCCCTTTAAACATACAGATGCGCAGGCCCATCTTGTGGTTATAATTCCTTTGGTTTGGGAGGTAGGACCCAGACCTATGTATGTTTTACAAGCTTCCTGAGTGATCCTCATTTACATGAAATATGTTATCAGAAAATTAAATTATTTCCATCTTGGCCTTTGACAACACTAGCTGGGGCCTAACGGCCTCATGTCCCATTCCCTAGTTGTATTAGCATCATCAATTTAGTGAGCACAAGTTTCACAAAGGGAAAGATGTTAAAATGCGTATTCTCAACCCCTATCCTATAACTACTCTTATGCCCGATGTCCGAATCCCCGAGCGGGAAGAGAGAAGGCTTCCAAGACAATGCAACTTGCAAAAAAAGGGAAGTTTTTTACTGACTCGAGCCAGGGCTCCTGCCGCAACCAACACAGTGGTGCAGGGTCAGAGAGCCCTGGGCCCAAACTGTTACCCAAATTTATAGGGTGTTCATAAGCAGTTGGTGGCTGGCTTAAGCGGATTGGTTACCTGTTTGCAAAGTAATCTTATTGGCCCAAACCTTCGCGGGCTGTTTTCAAACTTGGGCGTTCGCGGGCTTTTTCAGCTTTCCCCTGATAGGTTCCCTTTTGTTTGCTAGGCGCATGTTGATTGGCTGGCTCCAGGTGGCCTGATAATCATGTTACCCGGGAAAACCAGGCCTACTCCTAATCTAGGCTGCCTGTCATGGCGCAGCCTCACACTACTTAATCAGAATCTCTGAGAAGAGAATGCTAGAATTGGCAGTTTTACAAATACCACAGTTACATATAGTGCACTAGTCTTCAAATCTAGTGCACTAGTCTGCAAATCACACTTTGAGAAATACTGACCTGAGCCTGGGAAGTTAAAGTTGACAGGAGCGATGTGGTTTGGGGCACAGTGGAAAGAAGAGGTAGATTGCATTAGCTGTTGAGTCACTGAAGCTCAGTGGACCAAAACGATCTTGGTTGGAGTCTCCACTTCAGTAGTGTACTGAGCTGTGGTTACAGCCTAAGCAAATGAGGCCAAATGATAGCTAGAGAAGACCGCTAATTAATTAAGTTTGTCTGCCACCAACTGGCAGACACAAGTTCTTTTTTAAGTAGGAGAATTTTAAGTTGGGTGAGAAGGATAGGAGAGATCTGAAATATGGGAAATTTTCCCCTGACTTCTCAAACCCCTTTTCTTATTTATTTCTCTCAGGGCTTAAGTAGTTTCCTCTGTAACAGTATCAGGATTGACTCACAAATTATTATTCATTGTTAAATTATGTTAGGAATGCATTCAAAATGCAAGAACAAGGTGTACAGTGTAGACACTACTTGAAAAGGCACTTAGATTTTTTTTCTTTAAGTGAGGGAGGAATATTTTTTCTGTGATATTTGAAAAGTGAAGGAAGTGTTTGCATTTGTCATACAGTATATGTTACAAAACCATCTCCTGATTTCCTATTGAGTGTCCTTCTTCTGTGAAAGGCCATGTAAGGTAAGACTGGTTGCTTTTCTGTTAATGAAAGGGTGCAGAGGGTATAGCTCTTACTACTGGTGGTTAAACTGAGTTTGAGATTTCACATATACTGTGACTTTCTGCTGTGATTTAAGCCTTCTACTGCTACATATTACTCAGAGCATTGTCTCCTCTTCCAGTCAACTAGATGTTAAGCTTCCTGGGGGCAGGCATCTTGTCTCAGACTTCTTTATAATCCTCTATCCAGCCCAGGACCATAGCAAGCTCCCAATAAAGACTGAAATATTTATTATGGCCAAGTAGTATTCCAGTGTGTGTGTGTGTGTGTGTGTGTGTGTGTATCACATCTTCTTTATCCATTTATCTGTTGATGGATATTTAGGTTGTTGACATTTGCAACAACATGGATGAACTTGGAAGGCATTATGTTAAGTGAAATTAGAAAAAGACAAATACTATATGAAATCACTTATATGTGGAATCTAAAAAATGCAACAAACTAGTGAATATAACAACAACAACAAAAAAGAATCAGACTCACAGATATAGAAAATAAACTAGTTGTTACCAGTGGGGGTAGGTGGGTGGAAGGGAAGTAATAGAGGTAGGGGATTAAGAAGATTATAAATTAGGCATAAAATAAGCTATAAGGATCTACTCTATAATATATCCTTATATTTTACAATAATTATACATGGAGTATAACCTTTAAAAATTGTGAATCACATAATTGCACATCTGTAACTTATATAACATTGTCCATCAACTATACTCAGTTACAAAAGATTGAACTTATATGAGGGTAATGAGATGGGGATGACAGGAGTGTACACATCCACTCTACTTGTGTTTAGTTGTAGTTCTAAGACACAGAGCAGCATGAGATGAGGGATGTTATGATTTTGGCAATCTACCCCAGAATTTTCTATGTATACTATGCACCCTTAAACTGTGATATTTAAAGTTGATGATAGCTGAACCATTCTTAGCAATTCTGGGTAGAAGATTAAGAAAATTAGTAAGTTTCATTCACAAGAGTTGAAGAGAAGGAGTCATCCTTCTGCTTTGTAGTAATAAAACTAGTGACTCTAGGCCCTAAAATATGAGTCATAGAAACTTGAATGAATCTGCCCACTTCCATAGTATTTGTAATAGACATGAATTATCTGCTTCTCACCTCTATACATACTATTTCAGGTGAATCTGTGTATGAGTATACTAGGAGTGGGGAGGAACTGTCCCCTGTGAAGACAATTGGGCATAGAGGTAGAGCCATTCTTTGAAAAGGAGATGATTTGATTTTACATATAGTGATATTTCATAAAAAGCAGATATGTTAGGGTCTTTTTTGCCTTCTTACTGATACTTCTACTTAACTACTAACTGCAATGAGAGCAAACAAGATAACTCTGTTGTGTAAAACACTAAAGTCATACAGTCCTACAGCTACAGTCATAAATCTGTAAAAGAAATGTTGATGGTAATACCACTTATGTGAAAATGAAAAATGTAAAAAGAAAAGAAAAAAGAAAAATGTAGTTGACTTCCTAAGACTTCAAAACAATTTTTTATTGGTCTATAGTTGCCTTACAATGTTTTGTTAGTTTCTGCTGTATAGCAAAGTGAATTGGTTAAACTGTACATGCATCCCCTCTTTTTTATGGATTCCCTTCCTATCTAGGTCACCACAGAGTAGAGTTCCCTGGGCAAAACAGTAGGTTTTCATTAGTTATCTATTTTATACATAGTATATATGTATATATGTATATATGTCAATCCCAGTCTCCCAATTTATCCCACCCCCACTTTTCCCCTTGGTAATCATATGTTTGTTTTCTCCATCTGTGACTCTATTTCTGCTTTGCAAATAAGTTTATCTGTACCATTTTTCTAGATGCCACATATAAGTGATATTCCTAAGACAGTTTAGAAATAGAAAATATTATGCAAATTAGTTGAGACAATTAGGTATTTAATAAAGGGTTCGGTTTCATTCAACTATCTGAATATTTCTCAGAATTCTTATCAAATATCTGCTTCCCTTTTTGATTCCAGATCTTCTCTGATAAAGTGCTTATTAGGTAAACCTAGCCCCACTACAAAACTCAGAACCAGACTTTGGTTGAACTAACAGAATGGGCCAGAGAGGGGAAGAATGGGGCTGAGAACCTAGATCTACTCACAGATGTCAAGCAGGCAGGGAGGCAGGCAATCTGGAGAGTTCCAAGCTGCAGGTATTAAAAAGGCCCAGACAGCTAAACAAAGCCCAGGTGACACGCTGAGATGCAGACAGGCCAATAGTTGATATGAGAGGTCTTATAACAGCTGGCAAGGAACAAGTCATGAAGATAAGGTTAAATGAACACAGAATCTAGCCACAAACAAAGACACATTCTAGACAGGAATTCTAGGTTAGGTATGAAGCTAAGATTGGTTATAATAAGGCAGGAGGTCAGAAAGATATGAAATGAAGATGGCAGTACTGGTCATTGAGATTATGGTTCTGGAATTAGAGATGAAGTTGAACCCATGGGCAGAAAGAAAATGGCTTCAGTTATTGGACTTAGATGCTGGGTTCTAAGCTAAATATGCAGATAAGTATATTCCTGTGATAATTTTATTTAGATAGACACTTGCTGCCATTTCCCAACGCAAAGGATAATTTAATTTTTATATCCTTCTGAAGAGTGCAACTTGCTTTTAAAATCTCATCTTAAAATGTCTTCTGTTATGTATTCATTCCAAAAAATTAATTCAATTACTGTCTTTCAGATACTGTGGAATACTGAGGTGAATAAAACTTAGCCATTGGCCTTAGAAAACTTACAGATTCGTGAAGAATCAAGCATCTAAAGTAATTACATCTGTTCAGTCACTCAGCCATGTCCAACTCTTTGTGACCCTATGGACTGTAACCCACCAGGCTCCTCTGTTCATGGGGTTTTTCAGGCAAGAATACTGGAGTGGGTTGCGATTTCCTCCTCAATGATTACAATACAGCATGCTGAAAGCACAAGGAATAGAGGTAACTTCTATTAAGTCATTCGATCAACCAAATGCATGGGAGTGTCTTCTATTTTACATGCACTAGTCTGGAAAAACAGGATAATCCCAAGTCCAGACTTTCAATGTCATAGAAAGCTTCCAAGAGAAGGTGAAACTTGATCTGAATTTTGTCAAGAGGTAGCCAGGTAAAAGCATGTGGCAGACATTATTCATTCTCCCCTTCCTGCATACAAATAGAAATCTGAATTTTTTGAGGCAGCATTGTATTAAAAACCATTCTAGGTATGAGTGACCATGTAAGTGAAAAAAAGCCTGTTGAACAGGGCTTTGTTGAAAATCATTTTTTTCCCAATGAAAATGAACTTAACTGACAGGTTCTTCCCTCTTCCTTTTATTCATGCTTGGAATGCAGTTATGAAACCTAGAGATGGAATCATCATCTCTCAGCCATAAAAACCTCCTTACAATAATGGTAAAATAAAAAGATAGTAGGAGTCTTGGTCCCTGATGATACCATACAACTTATATTTACTTTGGATTTTTGTTTAAGCCATTGTAGTCACTTTTCTATTATGTACTGTTAAATACAATTATAAGTAATAAGAAGAGTACTGGAGTTTGGTGGCAGAGAGTTCAAGAGAAACTTCCCAGGCATAGGAAACAATGAGATGCACAAAGATGTGGAGTGGGAAGCTCAATATGAAGAAACTGTAAGGAAACCAACTGATTGGAGTTGTGAAGAGAAGGAGACCAGAGATGAAGTTGTAGAGGTGAGTATAAAGGCCAGTTTCTTGTAACTCATATTAAGGAGTATGAGCTTTGTTGTAAAAGTAGTAGAGATTTTCTTGTGGATTTTTTCATGACTTAACATTTGCATTTTAGAGAGAACATTTTATTAGAATATTTAGAAACATTTGGAAGAGACTAATGGCAGGCAGATTAGATAGGAGATTTATATCATCCAGGTGTTTAAAAACCAAAGCTAAGTTAGTAGAAATGGGAATTGATAGACCAGATTGGAGTTACTAATTATAGGTCTCTAGAAGAGATTCAAAATATATCAAGGAGGTAGAATCAACATAGATTGGATGTGTAAATTTGAAACAAAGAACATCTCAAGGATGACCCTTAGGTTTCTGTCTTGGGCGGCCAGACAATTCACCAAGATTGGTACTACAGGAGGAAATGATGGTTAAGTAATGATCCAAACTCTGATATCTCTGAAAACCAGAGAGAATTTAAGTATATTTTGCCAATTGTAAAAGTACCTCTCAGGAACAGCGATAATACAGCCTCAACTGTTAAAAATGACATGTACATAAACTTAGTATTTCCAGAAAATTCCTAAGTAGATTGAGATAGAGATAATAGTGTTTTATTTTCATGCAATACAATGTTTATGCTGTTCTTTAATATTTCTTAGAACGTGGTTAGGAACAAAAACAAAAGATAAAAACAAAGATAACAACACCAAAACAGCTATACTACAGTAACCATAGTAATGTTTTTTGTTTCTTTCTTTGTTTCCTATTTCAGCCCAGTTCAACTCTGTAAAGAGCAAATGATGAATGGAGAAGAATAAGAGGGAAAGAAATGTGCCATAAGAGACATTTAGCAGACATTATTTTAATGTGTCTGACATAGTTTTGCATAGTTTCACACCTTTATGAGTTTATTGCTATAATGGTGGCAGAAAGATACAGGTTCCAGGCACCGCTAACTAATGAGACAGTTTTGAATTTTACTTGATACTTGCAATAAAATCTTTTCATAGTGTCTGTGCTCTTTCAATCCAGTGTAAAGAGTGCTCACATAAAAAGCCCTAGCAGTGGCAAAAGGAATAAAAACTCCCTGCATTCTTTTCCATCTAGATGTCCTCTCTTTGGTTTGGTCAAGTCAAGATGAAGGGCAGAATAGGTTGGCACTTGTTATCACCCCATATAGCCACCTCACAGTGAAAACAGTGATGTCCAAAGTTTAGTAACCATGACTGGTAAGGGCTGGTTGTGCCTGAACATCAGTACTTGATTGCATAAACCAGTAGCCTATATTTGGACAAAGTAATGAGAGAAAACTATAATTATTCATTTCATCTTGGTAGGATTTGGCTTATTGCTCCTGCCTTCTGAATTAAATGAATTTAAAAGAGACTGAAAGACTTAGAAAAGGTTCTCTTGCTACAGATGTTTGGCTCTCTTTTGCGGGGGGTGGGGTAGGGTCGGGTGGTAGGGGGTGGGCATCACACCACACAGCTCACAGGTACTCAGTTCCCAGATTCCCGGAACAAGCATTGAATCCAGGCTACGACAGTGAAAGACCAGAATCCTAACCAATAGGCCACCAGGGAACTGCCTCTGCTGCTATTCTTAAACAGTGAAAGACTGCTTCTAATACACGAGAGGGTATTGGTGGGAAGGAGAAAAACAGATATTGTGGAATAACTAGGTTCTTATGAGCTAGAAATATAGATTAGGAAGTTGTGGACTGTGGTCACATGAGCTTTATTGGCATATCAAAGGAAAAACTGAAAAAGAACAGATTGCTTTATAAAATGTATTTTTTCGGAGGCTATGTTGGTAGGTAAGTTTGAAAAGTACTCCTTGGGGTAAAGTCAGACACTAAGATAGTATTTGCTAAATTAAATTATCATTTCAAGGCCTAGATACCTAGTCATCAAATATATTTTTAGTTACCTGTTTGATTCACAACTTTCAGACACAGTGCTCAATAGTGAGAAGTATAAATCTTACACTCTGGGATTGGATAATAAAACAATCCAAGGGGATTTTTTTTCCTGATCCCACATTGCATTCATTTCATACCTAGAAGGACAAGGGCTCATTTCACTTTAAACTTTTCGATTTCCCTGCCACAGCCTCATCACAGATGGTTTTCATGCAAATGTGTGATCTTTTTTTGTGATTTACCTCAGTTACTGTTTCTACCTTTCATTTCCTAGAGTACTTTGCAGAATCCTAAACTATTTTGATTCCAAAGAGGGTTAGTTATATATCAGTACAAAATCAAAGGCTCACCAATCAGAAACATAGGAATGAAATAGGTATCCATCTATGATGGCATTATAGTGATTTGGGGCCAGATCCAGTGGTAAGGCAGTGACAGAAGATGTGTACTGCTGTTGCTTTGCATGGAAGCAGGAAGGTACAGGAAGAAGCAATAATACCTTAAGAGGAGTATAACGGAAAGGGAAAGAATAAGAAATAAAGCTGAACTTACAGAAATAGCTTCTAACTTACTTTGCATTATATTTAAAATCTCTAGAGTGCCATCTGACCTTTCTACCAGGAGAAGCAATAAATAAAATGTATAAATAATTTGTATTTTATATGTGTTTTGTACCCCAAATATGGAACTCAGCCTATTTGAGAATGAGCATTCCTAACTGCAACCTCAGTGAATTCACAATCAACTGGACTATCAACTCCTTTTCATGGAATCTATTTCTTTCAAAGTCATGTTATTTGCCCTTGTAAGAAGTAAGATAAACAGAGTAGTTTCAAAGAAAGTTGTGAGATAGTTGGGCTTTAAGAATTTGACTTTGACAAGTTCAAGAAGTGAAAACGGGACTGGGGTGTGGGCAGGGATGTTTATCCTATTAAAAAAAAACAGAATCAATAACTAATTTATTCAACAAGCACTTATTGAATACCTTCCATGTGTCATTTGGTGATGGGCTACATATTAGACGTGTTAAAAATGAGAAGTAGGCAGGATACATTTCAATCCAGGAGAGGAAGAAGGTGATTCCATGACAGAATGGCAGGTGAGATTTTAGGTCAAATGTAGCCTTTAAGCATCTCTCATATTCTACCAGGTAGGTGGCTATTAATACTTACATAAAGACCAGCCCTACCCTACACAGGAGGAAATAGAGGCCCTGAAATACAGTCTTATTTTTCCTCCTATTCCTAGATAATGAAGACAATGAAAACATAATTTTAATTGAAAAGTTGATGGGAATGAGTAAAAGCTTGCATGCTTCTAAGAATTTCTGCAGTTCGTGGCCTTTCCATATTCTTATGATAAAGCCCACAGTGGTCACTTCCTTAGTATATCGCCAATGAGGAACCATTAGCTTTTACTTTACTTTTTAAAAACAGACTTTATTTTTTAGAGCAGTTTTAAGTTCACAGCAAAATTGAGGAGAAAGTATGGGGAGTTCCCATAAACACACTAACCCCACACATGCATAGCCTTGCCTACTATCAACATCCTCCACTAGGGTGGTATATCTATTACAAATGAGGAACCTACATCAACACACCGTGATCACCCAGAGACCATTACTTATGTTAGCTTCACTCTTGGTGTCATACACCCCATAGTGTCAGTAAATTGTCGTGTCCAACTCTTTGTGACCCCATGGACTGTAGCCCACCAGCCTCCTCTGTCCATCAGATTTTCCAGGCCAGAATACTGGAGTGGGTAGTCGATCCCTTCTCCAGGGGATCTTCCCAACTCAGGGATCAAACCCAGATCACCCACATTGCGGGCAGATTCTTTACCAGCTACGAATGCTGGAAGTCTACGAATGCTGGAGTGGATAGCCTATCTCTCCTCCCACTCTTTCTGACTACAAGGACCATACAGTGCATGGAATTCTCCATGCCAGAACACTGCAATGGGTACCCGTTCAAACCCAGATCTCCCACATTGCAGGTGGATTCTTTACTAGCTTGAGCTGCAAGGTAAGCCCAAGAACACTGGAGTGGGTAGCCTATCCCTTCTCCAGTGGGTTTTCCCCCACCCAGGAATTGAACCAGGCTCTCCTGCATTGCAGCCAGATTCTTTACCAGCAGAGCTATCAGGAAAGCCCCTTACATGAATAGCTCTTTTCGCTCTACAACAAATACAAAATACTCTCATTTCCAAATCCCTGAAAAAATCTTTATGGTAACATCAAATAAATAAAAATCTTCTTAGTTTTTTTTGTTTATTGTTTTTAACAGAAAAGAAAGTCAAATTTATTTAATTAAAAACTAGACTTAAAATTAGCAAATACACAAACACACACTCAAAAATACACACATGAGAGCACTATGTATTGACTCATAGAGGGGAAATGCAGCGGTCGAAGACCACTCAATATGGCTTGTCAGGTAAAGGAAAAGAAATCCAAGCATGTGCGTGCGCACGCTCGGACACACACACACGCACACAGACACACACACACACACACAGCACAGGCACACAAAAAAGAACCCAGTGGTTTTCAACAGTACACTCAGTCTATTATAAACAAAAATTCAGAATTAGTTTCCAAAGTTTACTCATTTAATTCAAAAGATGGCCATCTCCGGTGTAAACATACATACATTTTTCAGTGGTTTACTACTGACTTATTTTAAATATATTAGTGTTACTACATGCAACTATTTCTTTTTTTTTTTTTTTTAAGTGAACTAGAATTAGCTTTATTATTTTTTTTTTGAAGTCATAGAAACCAATTTATTTCAGATAATGTACACTTAAGAAAGAAAAACATCATAAGGAACAAAAAAGGATATTATAAACAGGTTAAAGGAGTAAAAAATCTAAACAAAAAAAGAATGTGACAGAAAGAGGGAGGGAGGGAAGGAGGAAAGAAAGAAGGAAGGAAGAGATGGAGGGAGGGGAGAAAGGAAATAAAGGACAGAAACCAAGGAACTTGAAATAAATGACAAAATCATAAATAAATATTAGCAAATCCCTGGAAAGACACGTCAAGAAAAATAATTTAAAATTTATATATCAGAATTAGGCAACTATTTCTTGTATTTAACACCCTTTGGTTTTATTTATCTTAATGTCTCTGGCTTCCACCTACCAAAAGTTTCTGGTTGGTAGGAACACGGGTGCCTTATTCTCTGTGAAATTGAATGTATTGGTTTTAAACACTCGTCAGAAAATGTTTGGTCACAATTTCAACACATGGAAATAGTTACATCGATGCTTAAATCGCCATTTTCTGCAAAAAGTTCTGCAACTCCAGGGTCGAACACTAGGCAGTCACTGTTCATAATGGCTGTTGCAACTCTCTCATAAATAGACAGAGGCGTGGCTTCCCAAGTCAATCGCCGCCCATTACCATTTAGCTCAAGTCGATAAGCAAACTGTTCAGCTTGTTCGTGTGTTCCCATCAGCTGGACAAGAGCAAAGAATTTCTGGTGACCATCGTCGGTTTCCAGTTTCTCTAACACTAACATAAAGTGAAACCCAAAACAGGACTGCATCATCACCCAGTCAAGGGCACCGGAAAGATGAATGTTGACTGCAAGGAAAACGACAACTTCTCCCTCCAAGGTTATAATGGACTCATGCTTCTGCATCAGATGCGGCACTACAGCGTTCACTGAGCCTTGCCACCCACAGGAAGTACCAGGGCAGGGACAACAACAGGGCCTAAACTCACAGTGTTTTTCATGGTCTGCTTTTTCTGTGGGTGGCATAGTTATTTCACAACCAAAAGTGGCGTATTTGCACGGGAAAAGTACTGAAACAGCCACTTTCTCCATGGCCAAGTTGCGAATTGGTGTCAGCAGGTCCCGGCAAGT